TCCGTCGCTGGAAAAGAGAATGGGTGGAGCTTTCCAAATACGCTGCCGGTTAGATCAGGCATGACTATAGCCGTAACAGCAACAACAACAACAATCTCCTCTCTTTCAGTTTACTAGATCTAGCTACACACTTCACAGTATGTGGCACTGCACTTATAGGGATACTCATCGTAAATTTCTGGCTTCACTTCTTTTCACTGCTTCATAAAAGGCATCTTGAGTAAATGCTAGGATATGATCTCATGCAAGGTTTCTAGGGCCTTCAGTTTAGTTCTGGAGCGTGGCCGTTTTCCCCATTTTTTTCGAGGATTTAATCACAAGCGACCCCTGTGGAATCTCCGACCGCTGTGGGTATTTCGCGTTGTTGTTGCTGCCTGCTAGTGCGACGCGATATCCCGTTGAGGTCTGTTGCGGACCCGATTGCCGTCATTATACGGAAACTAGTCTGTAATTAAGTCGCCTTGCGTAATATTTACATTGCGTCTGAAAGACCCCCTGTTGCAGAATTAAACAAGGCTGCCCTGCCTAGTCCCTCCGGCATTGTTAAGTGCCTTCCATCGTTCTCTAGCCAGGGCAAAACAGTTTGTATGCCTACTAAGCGCCGGAGCCGAGTTATTACCCAATATCTTAAAGAAAGTTATGGTTGATCGGTTGAACACATTTATGAGCCTGACCTTTAGGATTCACGTATGGACTCCTAATCCGAAACCTAGTGAGGTAGAGGGACACAGATACTGCGCAAATATTGGCGAATCAAATGGGTAATTGATTGTAACGCTAATTATGGTGGCTAGTGATGGAGACGTAACAGCTAAAAATACGGACTGCTGACCTGTCGATGGGCATGTCAAGTGCCACCACTCACAAGGAACGCTTGACGCTCGGTGAATCAACACAGTCCGTTAATTAGCAAAATTAAAACAGCATGAAAACAGCTCGGAGGAAGAGGACGCGATGGCCGGAACAAGAAGTGTATTGGCTTGATGTTTCAGATGCTCCCTCGAATCTTCCCTCGGAGACGTTCACAGAAAAGGTTAAACGGGGGCACAAGATGTGCAGTATTTATAGGACGCAGTTGCAATTGCCACAGTCTCTGATGATAGGTTCCGGATCCGAGAATCCGAAACAGCCTAATCAATGCCTTGTCCCAGCGGTCGCATCTTCCTCTGTACTACTCGTCTGTAACCGCTTTCTATAGCCTCTTATGCCTTCTACCTTTCTCGGCTTCTGTTTCAAGGGATTGTTTGTGTACTGGTCGCAAACGTCAGACTAATAGAACTCTGGTCCCAGCAATCGAGTATACTTTTCCGTTATTGTCAGGAACACATTCTCTTGCATGTACCCACTTCTAGTTGAGATTGAGGGGACATCAACCCCGTGCTGACTCTAGTATTCCTGGCATAGGCACGTACCTATAGTGGCAGCATCTTAGTTCGTACAGTTCGATGGATCAAGTTGAAAGTGCGGAAACCAAGGCGTATACATCTTTGCTCAGGACACCAAGCTCTATTATTATCCAAATGCTAATCACTTCTACCTCATACAGACAGGGGAGTGCATACTGGGTGCGTCTCCTAAAATAGAAGATACGCAGGCTCTACTTATAGTATACTAACTACTAGCCTCAG